ATAGAGTCTGTGGGGGTGTACACACACGCGCGTGTGCGCGCGCGCGCGCGCACACACACACACACACACACACACACACACACACACACACACACACACACACACACACACACGAGCTCACTGATAGTATTTCCAGGGGATGTTGAAATGCATGTCATATTATTAGAAGGAGATGCCTAGATAATATGCTTTGAGTCCTAGTAATATGGCAGGTAATTATTTTGGGTTTAGTGGGAGTACGAATAGCTCGTTTTAATATCATGTTTCAGTATTCGTGGCCAGCTGGTCATGGCATCATGCAGTCCTGGGAATGGGAAGGGGGCTGGTATTATCCACCTGGTCTCCCAAGTCTTCTCTATTAAGCTAGTCTCCGGTTTTATACCCCCAGTTTCAATATTTGAGTGGTGAAAGAGAAATTAAATTTTAAAACGCCCAGGCCCAGTCTGCTTGGTCCAGAGGCAGAGCTACCAACAGCAGCAAGTATTTTAGAAACTCTAGTACCATCCTGTGGCAGCAGTGAGTAATATCACCGTGGCAGAGTAAAAAATCATTTGGAGTCTGAGCCTGTTTTTACCAGGTGCCATGATTTCTCAGCCTAGACCAGGAACATCTCTTCTGGTTGGCATCAGTTCTTTGAGGTCTCAGACACAATTTTCGTCCTGTGCTACCTGATCCTTCTTAGCTGTGGAACAGCAAATGGATATGTACCTCTATCACTGAGATGTGGCCTGTCCGTAGTTCCTTCTGTTGGAAAGAAACATAGCTCCCATAACTGCCTTTTGCCTCCTGATGTGCCAGAGTCAAATAAATTGTATTGATGCATGTATTGCTGTATGTGGTGGACTGCAGAGGCTCAGCTGCTAAGCCCATCTCCCCACCTCTGAGCACCACAAGATGCAGCCTGCCTCTAGCCAGTGTCATCTCACCACCTTTCTAACGTCCCTTTCCAACCACAGTCACACAGTCTCAGGCGCATGGCAACTGCAACAAACCAAGCATGGATTTGCCTTTGATAAGTGCTTGGAAATGGTCTCACATGCATCCATTGGGGGGGTGGGTCCAGGCTACAGCCAGTCACTTGAAAGAAACATCAAAAGAGCAACTCCAGAACTTTTTCCATCTTCACTGGCTTGCATCTGATTCCTCTGGTCAAGTCAAAGTTCTGGCATGATGAAGAAGTCTGAAATGACCTTGGCCTGGATGGCAGTACAGTTGTGCCTCGAGGGACGATTAATCTGCAAGACGATTGGTTTTTGCGATCGCTGTGGTGCTTCGCAAGATGATGTTTTCTAGGCACGATTTTCGCAAGATGATGATTTTTCCCCATTGGAATGCATTAAATAGATTTCAGTGCATTCCAATGTGAACCGCATTTCTCAAGACGATGTTTTCTAGGGACAATTTTTGCAAAACGACTATTTTCCCCTTGGAACGCATTAATTAGATTTCAATGCATTCCAGTGGGGAACCGCGTTTCGCAAGACGATGTTTTCACAAGACAACGTTTTTCGTGAAACGAATTAACATTGTCTTGCGAGGCACTACTGTATTAGGTTTTCCAACCACACAGATAATAGTCCCTCCTTGACACTTTCTTAGTTAGAATGGGTGGACTATACCTATAGGTGGATTATACCTATAGTTTTAATGGCTGCCCTAGCATGGCGGCCTGTCCTGCTGTCTTGCAGCCTTCTGGCGGAGGCAGATGGTCCTTTAATTTCCGAGGTCACTGGATGCAATCAACATTTAATTTCCAGTTTTGTTGCTTCTTTTGCCCTTCTTCAATATATTTTTTTCAGTGTTGTGTTGTTTATGAATCATTTCAGAGTTATATCATGGATTTAATTGTTTGTCTCGGACCCCCAATTCTGTTATTTCCTTTGGACATCTTTTCTATGGAAGGGTGGCAAGCGAAAACCCTCTCTAGATTTTGTCTCATGTCAACCAAGCATGACTGATATTCCCCGTGAGCTTCCTTTGTGGTTTTGCAGATAGCTGCTGCTCCCTCTGTCATGTTCTTCTAAGCTCCATTGATCACACTCCTGTTTTGAGTTCAGGAGACCTAAATTTTGCAGCTTCCATGCACATGTTTGAAAGGTGGCATGGGGGGCATAGCCTGACTGTGAGCCTAGCCTTGTTGTGGTTAAAGGTGTTCAAAAAAACATAGTCTTGTTTCATAATTTTACATCCAGCAACTTGGCCATGCTCGCTGCAGACCTTATATTGGTCCATTCTCCAATTCTGTCCAGGGACGACCAGTCTTTGACTTGACTCTTGCGATTTGCTGCCTGCAGGTTCAATGTGTGTCCCCGGGACTGCTCTGGCAGAGGGGAGTGCAAACTCACCAACACCAGCAAAGTGGTTGAGTGTGAGTGTTCGGAACATTGGAAGGGAGAGGCCTGTGACATCCCGTACTGCCCAGGAGACTGTGGCTTCCCGGACAGAGGACAGTGCATTGAAAATGGTACCCATGGATGCATGTGCTACTCAGGCTGGCAAGGTAAGTTCTGAGATATAGGGCATGTCTTCTCCCCAGGGTGTGCAGTGCCTCTCAAAGTCACAAAGACTGGAGACTTCCTGCTACGGTTGTAAATATCTCTTTGAGTTCAACATTTGAAGGTAGCTCTTGGTCCTCCAAGCCTCCTTGCACACTGCACTGTCTTGTTAAGTAGGCCTTGGCAGAGGACATCCTCCCTTTTATTTCCATTCCTCCCCTTCTTACCTCTTTCTTGCCTCAAGTTCCTTCTTACTCTGTTTCCTTAGTTTGTCCAATGTTGTCTTTGCCCCCCATCCCATCTGCGTTCACCGCTTGATGTCTTCGTACTATTTATTCTTGATCTCAGACCCCTTACGTAGCCCGTACATTGTTATGTACAGTGGTGCCTTGCTTAGTGATGTTAATCGGTGCAGCAAAAATCGCCGCTAACAGAAAACATCGCTAAGCGATTTTTAAAAGCCCATAGGAATGCATTGAAACCCCTTCAGTGCGTTCCTATGGGCAAAAAACTTACCTTTAAGCGAAAATCCTCCATATGGCGGCCATTTTCGCTGCCCAGTATGCGAGGAATCCGTCCCAAAACACAGCGGGCGGCCATGTTTTTTACCCGGCAGCCATTTTGGAACCGCGATCAGCTGTTGGGAAAACATCGCTATGCGAAAATCAGTAAGCGAAACAGCTTACCGATCATCACAAAGTGATATTTTCCCATCTAAATCATCGCAATGCGATCGCTTTTGCGATCGCAAAAACCAAATCGCTATGCGATTTCATCGTTAACCGGGGCGCTCGTTAAGCGAGGCACCACTGTACTGCAAACATGATTTCTAGACAGCTAATCTGCTTTCTGCGTCCCTTACTTACATGATTCGTTTCACACCAAGCCTTTCTGGGCAAAAGATACTGGCATATTGATACGAAGGTGGATAAGAAATCAGTGGGTTTTCTTTTAGATCCAATTGATTTAAACAAAAAATTTGTTTTTGGTTAAATCGTCAAGACGTGCTTCTTTTGATTTAAAATGCGATCCACCCTGCTTGATATTGCTGCATTGTGGTTGTGCTTTTTCTTTATATGTTTCCTGTGCAGAGGATTAGTAACAAAGGGGTGTGCAGATGTGAGGGACTAGTATACACAGTTTGCTTGTCCCTTACCCCTTTTAAATGTAGACAGTAGAACCATGACCTAGTTTGTTGTCCCCTTGACTGGTTCTGGCATATTTTTCTTCTTTTTTATCCTTTCATTTTACCAGTTGTGAATACGCAGTGACAGCCAGCCAGTTTTTAGCCTCTTGATGACCCAGTCGGGTCTGTGGTATGCTGAGAGTCAGCAGCCTACACAGTGAATCTGTTAAGGATATCTCATGACAGTTGTTAACAGGTAAAATACATTTTGCCCCTCCTAGGTGCAGACTGCTCGATTCCTGTTCCTGCAAATCACTCCTTTTGGACTCAGGAAGAATTCTACAACCCCAGGCTACCCAGAGCATCCCACAAAGCGGTAGTCCAAGATGATATTATGTGGGTGGTTGGCGGCTACATGTTCAACCATACGAATGCCCAAATGGTTTTGGCGTGAGTAAACTGAAACATAAAACGTTTTCAAGATTAACTTGGGAGATAATAGGGAAGGAGGAGTATACAGGAGGCGTGGGACAGCTTTAGAGAACTGTGTTGGTATGCTGATACTAGATGTAGAGTCTTCTCTTCTGCTTGAGTGTGTGACGGCAGCTGTTCTATGTACGTTTCTTTGGAAGTGCTGTCCTCTCCACTCCCGCCTTTCTGAAGTCACCTTTGTAAGGGTTTCAATTAAAGCCAGCCTAGCAATATTTAAATATCTAAACATAGTCCAGCATCTTTTTTGCGGGCTGTGCTTCCTTTCTCTCCCTAATAGGTGATGCATTCTGGCTTCCGTGTGGTCCCCATATATGGGTACCGTGCAGGTCAAAGCTTGGAACCTTCCAGGACGAAACAGTGATCAGTTGTGGCAGGAAGCTCATCTGAGCCCTCTGTGCCTCCTTTACTTCTGTCGTTATTGGATCATCTGTGAACTTCCTTTGTTTTCTCAAGAGCCTGGAGCTCAGTCTTCTGATTTGTTCTCTCTTCTCTCCAATTCCAGTCTTCTCCTCTGTATTCTTGCTTCCTGTTTTGTGCCCATTCTCACATGAGATCTTGCACATCCTCTGGTGCATGATCAAAGTCCGTTGAATGCCTGTAGAGTAAGGGGTGCATTTTTAAAAATAGGTCCAATGTAAGAGTAAAGTTTCTGTGGAAGCCACAGTGGCACCTCCTTTGCTTTGGCATGGGGTGCATCGTGGCTGTCTATCAGCATTTGAATTGGATTTGAGCTTTTTGTTATCTTCCCCATCTTCTGTTTTTTGTACCATCATACCCGAGGAAATGTTCCGGAGAGTTCAAAGGCTCATGCCAGTGACAAAGACCTTTTGCAACCTTTTAGTGGCCATATATATAAATGTTATGCGTCTGGCGCTTTTTCCATATGTGCCCTTGAGGTCCTCTGGGATGAGAGTTTTTGACACAGACTCTCTCTCGCGTGATGCGGCGTGGCGGCCATGCCACGATTTGCCTGGCACCCTGTCCATTCCCAGTGATCCAATCTTAAGCATGGTCTGAACTCAGACTCCATGACCCAAAGTGTTTCCCTCTGCTTCCCCGACTTTGCTGTATTTTATATATATGCAGAAATTTATCCCCTTGGAAGAAACCATTGCTATATTTATGTGTTTATTTCAGCAGGCCAGTATCCTCTTGAAATCACAATAGCCTCCTGGAGCGAGGGGGGAAACGCTTACGCATAAAACATCAGGACACTAGCTTTTTTTAGCTATGTCTGTATCCTGCCCCGGCTCCTATGAGCTAAAGGCAGTGTATATGGTTCCTCTCCAACTTTATCTTCACAACAACACCCCATGCCGTATTCAGGCTACACTAGACTGACCAACCCAAGGCTACCGTGAATTTCCATGACTGTGTGAGATCTAGAACTGGATCTTGCTGTTGCCGTGAAGCACTGTAACAGCTACACTCCACCAGGCCAAGTAGATTTCATTTGTGTTGCCCTGTTTCTCTGGGTACTTGGTTTATTACTTGTGAATCTCCCTGGATCTCCACACTCAGTGCATAGCCAGGGGACTGGGGCTGTCAGCTGTTGGCTGGGCATCATGAGTGGGAGAGCGACTCTCTGTTGAGCCTGAAGTGTCGTCTACATGCGCACAGGTGTGTAGCAAGCGTAACCTTCTGCATTGATTTAAAATGGCATGTTTCCATCCGCTGTAAAGGTACAGTCGTGCCCTGCTTAATGATTACCCTGTATACAAATCTGCTTCACAACAATGTTTTTGCGATTGCAATTGCGATCGCAAAACGATGTTTTAATGTTTTTTTTCCACCTTGCAACGATCGGTTCCCTGCTTCGGGAACCGATTCTTCGCATTACGACGATCAAAACAGCTGATCGTTGGGTTTTCACAATGGCCGCCGGCTGCTCAAAATGGCTCCCCACTGTTTTTAGGAGGCATTTTTCGCTTAACAGGCACCCAAAAATGGCTGCCATATGGAGGATCTTTGCTGGACGAGCAGGTATTCAGCCCATTGGAACACATTGAACAGTTTTCAGTGCATTTCAGTGGGCTTTTTTATTTCGCTTTACGTTTTCGCTCTACAGCGATTTCGCTAGAATGAATTAACGTCGTCAAGCGAGGCACCACTGTAGTTGAACAAGTTGGTGCAGGGTTTTTTTTGTTCATGGATTATTATCTGCTGTTGTGCTCCAAGCCGACTTTATTTCTGTTTCTCTTGAGCATCTAACACACACTCAAAGATAACCAGGGTTTGCTGTGTGGTGTTCTTTGTGGCTTCTCCAGCCTTAGATTTTATTATACTGCCCTTTTCCAAGTTTGTCTGGCAACAAGGTTTGGATTTTGGAGTTCAAGCAGATGCAGTTTTAGATGGATTGTGCTGGATGTAAAGCTGCTTACTGAATTTCCGGTTAAATTAACTTCTTCTCCTCCCCGCTGTGGCACAGACCCCAAAAATGTGAGATTTTTCTTGTCCCTGTGATCAAGCAACAATCACTCAGTTGGTGCTACAAGGGTCATTATGACCTGCTCTTGCTGCAGGAGTTTGTTAGGAGATTAGTAGAAATCTGGGAGCCATGTATGCCTTTTGAGAATACATCCTGAGGATTGTGGGTGAACCCTTGGCCCAAATTTCTGCTGTCCAGGACTAGAAGGTTCAGCCTGTTCAGATGCAGTCTCCAGTTGTATGTGTTTTGCTCACAATAAAGAGGCTCACATCTGGCAGTGCAGAAGAATGAGTTTGATGGCCTTTTAAGCACACGCAGGGTCCTGTGTGGCTGTCATCCTGTGTTTTATGGTGCATTTTAACTGGAGTATTGGGTTGAAAATTGTTCAGGAGCCCCGGTGGGTGCAAAATGCTGCGTCTAAAATCTTGGCAGGAGCAATATAATGGAATCATCACAGTTCCATTGTAACAGTACTTTATTTCCTTTCCCACTGCAATTGCAGGTAGAAGGTGCAAGTGATTATCTTTAAAACCTTCAGCAGCTTGGGATCTGAGCATTTCAAGGAGCAACTCTTTCCTTCCTCCTGCATAATTTAAAATGATTATTAGTCAATAATTGTAATTATTTTTCTTACACTTTGCCTTTCTGCCCAAGAAGGGTTTTTGTTTGTTTGTTCATGTTTTTATATTTTCAAAGCTGTTTAGGGTGGCACACGTTAGAGAGAGGAAAGTCTGATCTGTCGGCACAGCGTTAATAATAATTGTGTTCTGACTTGTGGCGATGGTTCCCATTGTTTTCTGGGTATAAATTTGTTCGAAGCAGTTTATCAGCCCCTTCTTATGGGAGTAACTTACCAGTGGTTCACCGACTGGCTTTTTTTTGCAAGAGGCACAGTAGGGAATCAGACGGCAAACCTCTGGCTCCACAGCCAGGTGGTCTAGTCTAATGAGCACACTGAATTAAAATAATTAATACATTTGTCTAAAATAAAATAAAATGTGCAGCCATTTTTTTCTGTTTCCTGGTTGTGTACCACCACTTCATTAAAACTGACGTTGGTGACTTCATTAAAGGTTTATCAGAGGTGGCAAATTCCCATGATTTTGTGTCCCTGCACTTTGGGACAAAAAAAAGACTTTAAGGAGGACAGGTCTTGCTCATCTGCTGTGGTGAATGATGTCCGATGAGAATATTTCAATAATTATAATAATTATGTGCCCTCAAGTTAATTCTGACTTCTAGTGATGTTGTCCAGGGTTTTCTAGGAGGCAGAGAATACTGAGAAGTGATTGGCCTTTCCCTTCTTCCTGGGGGGATGCCCTGGGACCACAGTTCGGCTTTTTGCCTAAGGCCACCTAGGAGGCACAGGGGGGGAATCGAACTCCCAACCTCTGGCTCCATAGCCAGAGACCTAAACCACTGAGCTACTTCAAAGTAGCACAAAACAAAAAACTGAATAAACCCTCCTTGTTTCCCATAGTTTTCTTCATGAGTTGTTTGAACCCAATTTTACTCTGAGAATACATATTTTTTCCATATTTAAAAAAAAACCAAACAAAAATGCAGCAGTGTATATATATTATCAGCAGAACGGTTGTGCCTGAATCAGTTTGGGTGCATTTTTAGTTTTTTGGTGGATCCATAAGTACCCCCTTCAGCATTTTTCCTTAATTCGTTCTCTTGTTCCGCATGCATTGTCTGGAATATAAATAGCAGCTTTGTATTTGTATGTGAACAGACACAGGGGTGTTAAGTCTGTGCTTTTTATTACACAGGTATGACCTTGTTTCAAGAGAATGGCTGCCCTTGAACAGCAGTGTAAATGCGGTCGTGGTCAGATATGGACACTCTCTGGCCTTATATGAAGTAAGTGGCCTTTGTCCACGTTTTGGAGGCTTCTGATCTTGTTTCAGTTCTGGGCCCTTTCCTCTTCCGGTAGAAGCTGAGACTCAAGCCGTGGGAGATGCTGTGCCTTGGTTAGGATATATGGCAGCAAGGCTAAAACTAGGTTCCAGTGGTCATACTTTGCAAGTGGTTCTTCTATGTGCACCAACGTTTGCTATCCAAAGGGTGTACAAGCATGATTTCTGAACGTGCTAGGGCAATGTCAGTGCTTCTGAGTTTGTCCTGCTGTTGCTTACCTTTTAACTCAATGTATTTTCCTGTGAAAAAAACCCTGACTCTTTCATTTTTTTCCCTCCTAGAATAAACTCTACATGTATGGAGATGTCAGTGCTTCTGAGTTTGTCCTGCTGTTGCTTACCTTTTAACTCAATGTATTTTCCTGTGAAAAAAACCCTGACTCTTTCTTTTCATTTTTTCCTCCTAGAATAAACTCTACATGTATGGAGGCAAAATAGATGAATCTGGAAATGTCACCAGTGAGCTCTGGGTGTTTCATATTGCAAACCAGTCGTGGGTTCACGTGATACCCAAAGCCAAGGAGCAGTATGCTGTCGTTGGCCATTCAGCCCACATTGTCACACTGGATGATGGTTCTGTAGTGATGCTGGTCATCTTTGGTCACTGTCCTCTTTATGGGTACATCAGCAATGTGCAGGAATACAATCTGGGTGGGTGCTGCCTTCATACTGACTTTTGATCTATTCCTTATAAATTGATGCGTAAGAATTCTTTATTCAGTTCTTTATTTGTGTTAGAACAGAGGTTCCTAGTCTTGGGTTCCCAGCTGTTGCTGGACGGCTACTGCAGGAGTCCCTGAGAGCTGGCCACTACTGGCTGGTGGCTTTGCGGAGGGGAATATCCAGCCATTTCTGAGACCCACGTTTGAATAGCTTAGAACGTTCCCTCTTCAGTCTGTCCCTTTTCTTCTTTCCTGATTCTTTTGCCACCTTTGGAAAATGCCGGTTCTCTGTTTTTTTATTTATTTATTACTATTTCCTTTTTTTCCAGGAACAAATACATGGAGCATTCTACCAACAACTGGAGCTTTGGTTCAAGGAGGGTATGGTCACAGCAGTGCATATGATCCAAGTACTAAGTCCATCTTTACCCATGGAGGTTATAAGGCATTCAATGCAAACAAGTACAGGCTGACAGATGATTTATACAAGTATGATGTGAATAGGCACATGTGGTAAGTATGTTTATTTTCCCTTTCTTCCCCCCCCTTCACATGGTATGTAGGCAGCTGGATAATCCTTGGTAGTGCGTTGCAGTTTGACAAGAAAAGTGCTTGCTTTCTGAAGTTTTCTTGTACTGTCGGTCTTCTGAAAGCACTGCCATAAGCTTTGGTTCTTTCCAGCTTCATGGGGTTTAGAAGACATTTTCAGGATGTGAGCTGGGGGATGGTCTTTGACATTTCGTCTCTCCTTGTTTCTGCAGGACCATTCTTAAAGAAAGCAAGTTTTCTCGATACTTGCATTCGGCCGTGATCATCAGTGGGACTATGTTGGTGTTTGGAGGAAACACACACAATGACACTTCAATGAGCCACGGCGCCAAGTGCTTTTCTTCGGACTTCATGGCCTATGATCTAGGTAGCTTTGCATGTAGCAGTTAAGTCCACAATAAGACCCGGTTTCTCCTAAAAGCTGAACCGTAGCCATCCCGTGTAGTTGCTTTTTCTCCTGTTAGTTGAAGCGCTATAGTCCCTTCCTTCTTTTTTCCTGCTCCAAATCAGTGAGACAGCTCAGCCTCCTTGCTTTGGCTAGGAGGCATGGCATTCGGCTGGTGTATTCCAAGGATTTATGCCCTGTGCTTCAAGCTGCTTTTTTGGGCAGGATAGCTGCAGAGTTGCTGCGCAGCTGTCGTCCGAGATTCTGTAAGTGGCTCTGTCTTTTCCCCATGCAGGTCCGGTGTCCCACGGGGTTCGAAAGGGAGCTGGAACTTTTTCAAAAGAAGGCTGCCAACCTTCAGGTTAACCACAGGTTTCAGAGGCAGCACTTCTGTGCTATGTTATGTTTGCGACCCAGTTTTTTCATTGGATCCTTGCCTCAGAGCTGTATGTACTTGGTCCAGGCCTAGCTTTTGCAGAAGTGCGCAGCTAGAGGGAGAACATATTGGAAACACCGGTAGCATGGTGAAAGGTTCGCAGTCGAAAAGTGTTTTAAGTCTTGGCCTCTCTAATATATAAGTATCTGTTGACATACTGCAAGGTTGTGTGTGTGTGTGCGTGTGTGTGAGAGAGAGAGAGAGAGAGAGAGAGAGAGCACATGCAGATTTTGTTGCTAAGACCCAGGAAAAATAATGCACCAGCTATGTGGCTCTTGCCTGTGTTGCGCTTAAACTGCATGGGTATCTCTTGCTGATGCAGTGAAAAACTGTCTTTCCAGCATGTGCAGATGATGATGATGATGATGATGATGATGATGATGATGATGATGATGATGATGATGATGATGATGATGATAATAATAATAATAATAATAAAACACAACTTGTATGTGTTAAAACTTCTATCTGTTATATAATACGACTGTGCCTGGAGTTTTTGAATAATAATTCCACAAACAGATTACAAGGTTAGACATGATAGAGTGGCAAAGTTAGTGCACTGGTCATTATGCAGAAAGGATAACCTGCCAGCCTCCAAAAACCCACGGGAACATCAGGTAGAGAAGGTGTCAGAAAATGAGGAAGTCAAGATCCTGTGGGATTTCCAGATCCAAACTGATAAGACACCTTGAACATAACACACCAGACATAGTAATAATAAAACAAAGAAATGTCTGGTTCATTGACATTGCAATTCCAGGGGATGCCAGAGCTGAAAATAAAGAATTGGAAAAAAAACCTTAACAAAATACAGAGATCCGGCCATCGGAACATCTCGTCTCTGGAAGAAACACACTTTAGTGGTCTCCGTAGTCATCGGGGCTTTGGGAACAAGATCAAGAAACTTCACTCAGTACTATAAACAGTTGCAGATCTCAAAAACCACACCATCGAAGCTACAGAAACTGGCAGTAATAGGAACAGCATACATCCTGTGCTGATATTTTACAGCTACTTAGGTTATGGGTTAAAACTTCCATCTGTTATATAATACCAGTGAGTGTTTTCATAGTTTTGTTTGACTGTGCCTGGTGTTTTTGGAAGTGACCCCTATGGCTCATCGAGTCCATCCGCTGGAGGCCCGGGGGGGGGGGGGGGAATCAAATTCCCAACCTCTGGCTCTGCAGCCAGAGATCTTAACCCCTGAGCTATCCAGTAGCTTCCTGTCAGGCTTGATCTTTGCCTGTATGTCCACGGAAGAGGTTGTGCTCTTGCTCGCCGTGCAAGGTGGGGTTCTCGTGGCCATGCCATCTGTGGCAGTACTGAAATGCTAAGTTGGATGACCTTCCTGTCCAATAAGAGGATCTAATTTGGTAAATTTTAAATTTTAAATTTGGATAGCCAACACCTGGCAGCATTCAGCAAACCCATAACAGGACCGTTGCTTTTCCCCCTCCATGGACGTGAGGATTAGTTTTTACACAGATGAAAACAGTCCAGATTATCTCTTAATACCATCCCTAGACTTTTATCAAAGCCTCACTGTAATTTCTGGACTTGTGAACAATTCATTTTTCTCGCACGTTGTAACCCTGCAATCATTTTAGCTAATTCTCTTCTGTGGAGGAGTTGAATGACTTATCTTCCCAGCTAGCTTTGTAGGTCTTCTTGTATTAGTGTTTTTTTTTTATTGAAATATTGGCAGCCGTCTCCCCAAGAATGGGGTGTGGGTGACGTTTTCAGAACGAAAATCGCTTTCTCACAGTGTGCACACAGCTACAAATTCTTGTGGGTTTCTGGGCTGTAAATCTCAAGTTGGCTTAATTCAAAGGTCAGGAAGGAAATAATTCTTGGTAATTTCAAAGCCATTAACTTCCCCCCCTTTACTTGATTTCCAGCAAAAGAGAGAGAAGGGAGCAAGAGAATCAAAGCATTCCAAATACTCCTCTTAATCTACCAAAATATGTGCCTTGGCCTCACATCTCACCACTTTCATCTCTGCTTACTATATTTAAAAATAAAAATTGAATGCTTTGTTTAAAGGCCTACCTTTAAAATACTGAAAGAGTACATTTATCTTTATTCAGTAGTTTAGTCAAATATTAAATTATATCGCACTAAAAGTGGAAATACAGTGGTGCCTTGCAAGACGAACACCTCGCTGGACGAAAAACTCGCAAGACGAAAGCGTTTTGTGATCGTGTTGGTGACTTGCAAGACGGCTGCTTCTATGGCCGTGCTTCGCAAGACAATTTTTTCCACAAGACTGGTGCCTCGCAAGATGAAAATAATTCGTTCGTCTTGCAAGGTTTCCCATAGGAATGTATACAGTGCATTCCTATGAGAAACCGCTTTTCACGAGATGAAAATTTCGCAAGACGGCGCTACTCGCAGAATGAATTACTTTTGTCTTGCGAGGCACCATTGTAATTTTTTAAAAAACAGTTTGAGTGGATGACTCCATATGGCGAGGCGGCCATTAGACCAAACAGCGACAAGAGGACCACTGTCTGATCTAACCTACTTTTGTCCTGTGCTCTTCAACGATGGTCAAAATCTAAGTCGTTGGTACTGTCGCGTGAGTTGTCCTATGATGCCATCAATGTCCAGTAATCTGTCTTACTGTAGTTTTCAGTCTGGGTAGCCACGGAGATGGGAGGACTGTAGAATGAATGAGAAATGGAGCTTGGGGTGCTGTCTTCGAGAGGAGAAATAGAAGGTCAGAGCAGCCAGGATGTGGACCTACTGAGAGCCTGTTGGAATGAGGGTTCTGATTACAGCGAATTTGTCTTGCAGGAAGGAGCTACAGTACCTGGTTTGGGAATTTGTCTGATTGGATTTCATATGTAGAAGTGTGAAGGCTGTAGATGGTTAATTTGGTCCTTAGAATTGGTTTTAAAATTGTCCTTTAAAGAATGCTTGGAATCTGCTTTTCAAATGTTTCTAATCCCCCAGATGATGTTGAAATCTGTTTTAGTTTGTCTGTTGCATCCCTCTTCGAGAAGCCATGGTGGGCAGAAAGACAATATACAGATATTTTTGTAGACTGGTATATAGACATATAGGGACATGGTAGTACTGCAGGTTAAACCGCAGAAGCCTCTGCACTGCAAAGTCGGAAGACCAGCAGTCGTAAGATCGAATCCACGCGGCGGAGTGAGCTCCCGTCGCTTGTCCCAGCTCCTGCCAACCTAGCCATTCGAAAGCATGTAAAAATGCGAGTCAATAAATAGGTACCACCACAGTGGGAAGGTAATCGTGCTGACCACGGAAAATGTCTACGGACAAATGCTGGCTCTACGGCTTGGAGACGGGGATGAGCATTATGCCCTAGAGTTGGACACAACTAGACTAAATGTCAAGGGGAACCTTTACCTCTACCTATGTGGACAAGTAAATAATGAAGTCTCCAGCTTAAATTCAACAAGAGTTAGTCACATTGAGTAGATGACTAGATGGGGAGTCAGTACTCGAGTCCCATTGATTCTGATTGGGATTGCCCATTGGAGTCACTCCTTGGTTGGCAAGAGTCTGCTTTTGTTCTTTTTGTGTGAATAATTGCCTCTTATTGCTCTGGGGATAATGAGAGAAAGTTCAAAAGCATTTGTGGATCGGGGGTTGTGTATGATTACCCTTCCCTAATACCTTGAAGCTGAGTTGAGTAGATGAAATTGATTAAGAGAACATGGAATCTGGTCCTCTCAAGGATCAGAATTTTTGTCTCTTTTTGGCGATTTTTCAGTTCATTGTGAAGCATTGAGCAAAACATCAAAAGATACTCAACTGGAACATTGGAAGATATTTTTTGAGCATTGTCTCTTAAGTCCTTCAGTTATTTCTCATCCCATGGCAATCTTTCAAAAATATGAAAAGAAATAGCAGATTGGTGTCATTTAAGACCTCATCTCAAATCCTGCTTAGGTTTTGTTGTGATTTGGTCAAGATGTGGAATTTTGTATGTATAGAGTGTTAAAATAATTGGGGGTGGTGGTGTAGAAGAAGTAGCTCTGAATATAAAAGTGCTTTTAAAATTGAGGCTTGAACAATAGTTCACAATAATACTACTTCGACTACTAATAATTATGTGTCATCAAGTCAATTTTGACAGGGCAAGCCTTTTGCTGGTCTTCTAGGTAGATAACACTTAGAAATGGTTCCCCATTTCCTCCTTCTGGAGGTGCCCTGGGATTATGCAGCTTGCCCAAGGCCACCCAGGCTAGCTCTGCTTGCAGGAGACAGCATGAGGAATTGAACTCCCAGTATCTGGCAACACAGCCAGTTGAGTAAACCACTGAGCTATCCACCGGATAATTTACTGTAAATATTGCAAAACACTCCAGCCAAACAAGGTAACTATGCCATAACAATCCTGACAGTTGAAGATGTTTGGCAAGTGATAACAAAGCATGAAACAAGGATGCAGGGCTTTTTAATAGGTACTCTTTGCCGTTCCAAAAACCTTGCAGCTACAATATTCTGGTGTTCCAGCGTCCTGGTACAACAGGACTTGTACAAAGCTTAGTCCTCCAAGCTTTGGAGAATTTTAATCAAAACAATGATGTTGTTATATTAAGTTACAAACCTTTGGAGTTACAACAATTGCAGGAATAGTAGAGTTTCCTATTACAAATTTTCTTCTTAAGAGCTCCAGACCCCGGACCTCCTGGCCCCAGGGAAAAGAGCTTGTTTGCAGGGAGGAATTAATAAAGCCGTGCTTTGAAATGTCTTCAGAAACTGGCTTCTGTCAATTGTGGTGTGGTGTGATATCGGTGTACCATACTTACAATTGTCTTTCTGCCTCCAGAGTTTGCTGCCCTGTGGAGGCAGGAGCGACTCTAGCAGAACTGAGCAGAGAAAAGATGGAAATAAAAATGGACAGGAAAGCTGCAACTTGTGGATTACCTGTATGTTTTGAAGATTAGGCCATCCTCTGTTTATAAATTACATTGTGACTCAGGCTTGCGTTTTTGTTTGGAAGGGTGTGAAAGCCTGGAACAGGATTTTTAGGAGGACCACAGTACTAATCTGTTTCATTTCTTTGATAGGATTAAATTAATTGTCTGAGAGTTCGTGCCATGTGGTCTTTCACCGTAAAGGTTGTGAACCATTGGAAAGGAAAGCATGATTTTCTAGGCAGGAAAACCTCGGAGATGTTAGGCCATTTGCTAACCCTTAAGAGTACGAAACCAACAGATATTGTTGTCTTTAGTTTGATTCTATTGTTTTGAGTCCACTGTTTTTGTTTGAGAGCTTTGTTTTAGTGGTTTTTTTTAGAAGGTCTTTTTCTGTCTGTCCAGGCAGCGTTTAAGTATTGGGTCAATTGGGGTGGAGGAAGGACAATTAAAAAAAAATTCTATATTAGGTAATGCATTCATTAAACTTTTGTCTTGACCAGAAGGCTGTGGTGGGCAGAGGCTTTTCTAACTGGAGCTGAGCACAGCAGTCTAGTAACCTGCAAAAGAATTGTACCTGTCATTGTCTGTCTGTAAAATAAATTTGAAATAGCAAGTGAATGGTTTATGTGGTTGGGTGAAGAACGTAGCAGCTGGGGCTTCTGAAATGCTATAGCAACGCTGTGCTTTCCAAAATACCTAATATGTCATCATTTAAATGGTTCTAGAAATGATGCAGAATATGTGCCATCAAAAATACCAATTAACATTCCATAAAGAACATACCTGAAAGGAGATTTGCTTAATTCTAGCTTGCGATCGCTGGTCTGTGCTTCATCAACCAGATCTTCCTCATGATATCGACAGATTTGGACATTCTGCTATCCTGCACAACAAGTAAGAGGGGCAAATATCTACTGGATCTTTTTCGTGGAGGGCAGCTGTGGGGAGGAGGGGAGCGTGCTCTGGCCCCACACCCCCGTCCTGAAAACAACTGGCTGCATCAACACATCCAATGTTGAAGGACTCCTGCTAGTATCACCAGTACAGCTGCATGGACCCCCCTCCCTCCCCCACCATTTGGGATGGCTGCTGGCTGTGCTTGTCGTATTTTCCTTCAGGAGCTGGGCATAAATAGACTTTCTACAGTGCCAAGCTGCGCCACCGTCTATTTACTAGCCCAAACTTACTGGAGAGAAGCTGCAAATGGGATGCATGACCATCCATCCCAAGGAGGCTTTGATTGACGCTGTTACATGCAGTCGATCAAAAGGGGGGCGGGGAGAAGAGGCTGAGTGGCCCTCTGATCATCATCAGCAAAGCCCTGGTACTTTGCTTCTTGCTCTTGGGAATGCAGGTGCTAGCAGGACTCCTCTTAACACAGGAAGGGTTACCATGTGACGTCGATGGCAGCTTCCAGACTTCTTCTCTCTTTTATTTTTTGCAATAATAATTATGCAGTATTGGAAGAGGAATATCCAGGTAGTGCCTGTCCATTAACAGTTATCCCTTTACCCACAATGACCTGAGAGATACACTGAATGTAAGCTCATGGCAGTTGACTCTCTGTCAGGACACACAAGTCTTACACTTGTTGTGTCTGTGTGAAGAACACATCACCTGTTGAATAGTTAGTTGACACCTGAACTATCTCATCTTTTCTTTGTTGCCAGTACGGCCAGCAGGCTGACTCCTTTCTTCCTACCTTTGGTAATGCTCTCCATGGGTTAATTGTGAAAATGTACTTTTACTACTTCGAGATGTGGAGGGTTTAGCTCATTGCGTTTTGCTTTCATCCTTGCTTTGAACAACAGTTCCCCACTCAGCTTTTCCACCCCATTCACTAGCTAATGTACCTCCTATCATAACAACATGGTTTTATTGCTTTTTTTGAAAGCCCTGTCTTAAATCTTCTCCTCTTGGGCAAAAGCCATTTCTACTGGCCTCGTTTTGAACTCTCCTTCAGAGCGACCATACTACATTTGACTTCAGCCATCCGTCACTTAATCGGCACAGACACCTTTTTTTTGGCTTTAAATTACCCCAAGAAATCATTTTCACACATCACAGGTTAAATTAAAAAAGATTGTTTTTAAAGTCCTGATCTTCTTTCATCTACAGATGATGCTGAACTAGGTAATTAAGGATTCTATGCCTTCTGCAGCCATATAACGTTTCGGCATTAAAAACATATGAATTCTGCAGTCAGAATTCTTATATTCTGCAAGTTATGCATATTTGTGCACATTTTTTTAAAAAAAAAGTTAATTGAGAAATCCAGGGACTTGTTTTTCAAAACTTTATGACTTTGGTGCAGGCTGAAGGAGTGGAAGTGTAGACATACTGGCCAAGGGGTGAGTTCTGTAGATAAAAGTAAGGGGGAAAGCATGGGCTTGGAGTAAATGGAAAAGAGGTGATTACAATTGTTTACCACACTGAAGTTGCCCCCCCCATCACTCCTCATAGCTCAGCGTGCCTTCTTATTTCTGAAATTTTATCAGGGCCAGCAGTTATGCCTTCAGATTTCTCTGTGGCCCCGAGCACCAGCAGTTGGTTTTTGATAGACTGCATGAAATTCCACAGTAAATTGTCTCAAGGAATATAAGCCAGGTAGTCTTTGCTAGTCTTCTTGCTTTGCTTTTTAGTTTTGTAGTGCAGATTCTTAAGACACTGCAAAGGAGGTGTTGGGTTACCCTACGAAAGCAGTGAATTTTCTAAAAATCTTGCCTTGGTAAGCGTGACACCTGTCACTTGACACCCACTGTACCAAATGCAACTGAACAGCCTGTGGGGGGTCTTGCCGGGCACCGACTTCCTGTGTGGCTTTTTGGTGTCAGTGGAGCCTCCCAGATATGAATGAAAATCAGCAGGATCTTTGAGGGCCAAAGGCAGGTCAGGACTGCTGTAGAAAGTATATATACACGAAACCAGCCCCCTCGGGACAGCCTGTACAGTAGGGGGTTGGACTGGACAGCAGGAAGTCCAGGTCCTCTCTGCGCCGTGCAACCCAACACCTCCATGGATGTCTTTGGGCTCTCTTTCACTCCGTCTGACCTTCTTCATGGGGTGGAGGGGTAGGTGGCCGTGAGTATATGGAGGGAAGGACAGACGGGTCCACTATCTTCAGCCCACTTTGTGTTTAACTTTCAAGTTGCATGTGAGTTTGTTTCCTTGTAAAAGAACAAGGAAGCAGATTCCCAAAGGGTGATAAAGAGGCCCTTGTGCCGAAGGAGTAGCTTTCGGGCCGAGAGAGAGTAGTCCAGTCCAGTATGTGCAGCTGTTGTTGTCTACCCCGCAAATAAGCAGCAAACACTTGATGGATTCCTCTTTCTTTGCTTTCCTTGTGCAGCCAGATGTATATATTTGGAGGTTTTAACAGCCTGCTGTTGAGTGACGTCATGAAGTACACCCCAGAAAGCTGTGAGGCGTACAACAGTGAAGCCTCCTGCCTAAGAGCGGGGCCGGGGCTCCGATGTGCGTGGAATGCCTCCGTTTCACAGTGTCTGCCGTGGGAGAGGGCCACGGTGGAGCAGCAACAAAAAATCATTGAGGAGTGCCCTCCGTGGCAAGGTAAGTCTTACCGCCTGCCGAGTCCCCCTCCTTCTTGTTCATGGCTCGTGTCAATTTCACATTGCCCTGGCCTAGCGATGTTGCGTTGGCTCCTTTGCAGCCTTTAATGTGTGTGTAATCAAATAAAGGCCAAACGGGCCACAAAACAGTTCTTAAAAGGGTCTCCCCACGTTGTGTGGTAGACGGGCAGATCACTTTGAGTATCAAGGATCGAACGTCTGTCGGGACGAATACTCAGTATACAGGTCAGAATATCAACAGAGAGGAATCTTGGTCGTAGCAGAAAGGTTATTGACGGCATGACCTCAGAATATTTGCAATCAAGGAAGAGGCCAATTCATTCTTGGCCGTTTATGAGGAAAGGTGCGGAAAATAAATCAGCCAAATTGAGGGGGCGTGGGGGAGAAGCTTCTTTAGACATCTGTGGGGCATATAAACTTCGCATCAGTATGTACAGTTCTGGTTTCCCCATCTCAAGTAGAAAATAGGGCTGGAAAAGTGACAGAAAACAGAGCAGAAAATATTATCCAGCATGGAAGTGGCTGGAGCTTTTTCTTTATGAAGTAAGTTCTAAGTAGGCCGACTAGTAAGAACTAAAGGTGCACACATACACCTTGGTGTGAACCCAGTTATTCTGAAGAGAGAAGGACCTGCTTTTACACGAGGAGCCCAGAGATTTTAGCAGGCCTTCATCATCTTTTGGGTTCTGCCCTTTGTGCGAGGAGAGGAGGGCAGCTTTTGGAAGATTGCTCACGCCGTTTGCAGTCCTTGAGAGTACTTGTACGAGGGTCATGCAAGCACTATGGGGTGTGTATTGCAGTGGATTCTCTTGGCTGGGCTGACGGCAGATTAATAATAATAATAATAATAATAATTGTGCAAGCACTATGGAGTGTGTATTGCAGCAGGTTGTCTCGGCTGGGCTGACAGCAGATTCCGGTTCAGCCAGGAGTCCAGGGGCTGACTGAGTGTGAAAAAGCCCCCGGCCCCCAATAAGCCCCCACCCACCCAGAATCTCTGCAGTGCCCATCTGCCTTTGAGACAGGAGCTGTTTTTCTAGGTGACCCACAGGTATTTAATGCTCCCGCTTAGTTTGCACTTGCTTAGTGGTGTGATACTGTATTTGGCAGTAATTGAATTTCTTTATCTTAATCATCCCTAATTATTCCAGTTCAGCCAGGAGTCCAGGGGCTGTGCCGTAGAGAGTGAAAAAGCCTCCGGGCCCCCAATAAGCCCCCACCCACCCAGAATCTCTGCAGTGCCCATCTGCCTTTGAGACAGGAGCTGTTTTTCTAGGTGACCCACAGGTATTTAATGCTCCCGCTTAGTTTGCACTTGCTTAGTGGTGTGATACTGTATTTGGCAGTAATTGAATTTCTTTATCTTAATCATCCCTAATTGGTTGAGAAAGTTTTCAATCAGAGCGAGTCCTTTCAGGTAAAATTGCAGTCAGAAACTGGGAGGTATTTAGCCTCGTTAAAGCTTTAGTGAATCAGTCAGGTTAGCTACTATAAAAACGTCAGTTTTGCATAAAAATTACTCCTGCAAACAATACATAACCACGAAGCAAGCGTAAACAAGGCAGATAAAGTTTAAATGTCCTGCTGGTAAGCGGATGAAGGGATAGGAAGTTTCTCCGCTGTTTGGCAGGGGATGGGGTTGGGGTTTAAAGTAATCCATTGGAGACTCTTGGAGGGGCTGGAAACCTGTCTGGGGGCAGAGAGAGAGAGAGAGAGAGAATAAGTTTAAATGTCCTGCAGGTAAGCGGATGAAGGGATAGGAAGTTGCTCCGCTGTTTGGCAGGACATGAGGTTGGGGTTTAAAGTAATCTATTGGAGACTCTGGGAGGGGCTGGAATCCTGTCCGGGGGCAGAGAGAGAGAGTGTGTGTGAATGAGTGAGGAAGAACTGTAATGTTTGGCCTTCCTTTGGCTCAGTGAAGTTGGAAGCCTGGTTCGGGCCTGGCTTGTCCCATCTCAGGCCTCAGGTAGGGGTTCTCACCTGACCGGCTGCTCTGCTGTACGAAAAGGATCACTCCAGGTGTTTCAGCAGGTATTATTCTTGCCCACCTGTCTTGCTCCTTGTTTTATCTTGGTTTTGTTAGATCCTGTTTTTATCAAAATTTATTGTATTGTATTTCACGTTTCTGGTTCGGGCCTGGCTTGTCCCATCTCAGGCCTCAGGTAGGGGTTCTCACCTGACCGGCTGCTCCAGGTGTTTCAGCAGGTATTATTCTTGCCCACCTGTCTTGCTCCTTGTTTTATCTTGGTTTTGTTAGATCCTGTTTTTATCAAAATTTATTGTATTGTATTTCACGTTTTTGGGATATTCTGTGTGGGGTAGTGGAGAGAAGGACTGACTAGAGAATTCAGGAGACCTGGGTTCGAATCCCCACTCAGCTATGGAAACTCATCAGTGTTTGTGTGTGTAATTGGTGAGATGATTCTAGCTTGGCAGCACCTTATTACCTAACTAATAATATTTTAGTACTATGGTTTGTTGTGATTTTTTAGCCATATCTGTTTTACCAATCCATCTTGTCAGCTGTTTTCCATGCTACAAAGGGAGAATGATGGGATATAAAACGAACACGGGTAGGGGTGGAGGCTGGTGGCCTCTGTACTGGAAAAACAGCAGACAAAGCCAGTCTTCCATCATACAGGATTGCTTTCTTTCTTTTTTTCTCGTTGTCAGCTGCGGACCATGAGAAATGTGATCAGATCACAGACTGCTACAGTTGTACAGCCAACACCAACCGGTGCCATTGGTGTACTGAGCAGTGTGTGTCGAGAAGCAGCAACTGCTCAGAAGACCAGGTAACAATTTCCACTTCTGACTTCTGAGAATCTTGACCTCCCTTGCCTTTTTTTCGCAAAGAAGCGGCTGTTGCTGCCGTTGTAAAGCAGCTTCTCTTGGTAGTTGTGGGTGGGCTGTGTTGGTTCTGTGCGGTACGCCTATGTTTCAGAAGCTCAGCAAAAAGGAGAGAGAGAGAAGGAGGATCAGCCGGGTTTGTTGTACTTTGCCAAAAGCTTCTCCTTTTTATAAACACAAAAACACCGAGGCAATGAGGCAGGCAGGCTCCCACCCCCCACCCCCCGGGCATCCTCCGCTAGCTTTGTGTCGCTTGTGTGTTTTCAGATCTTTGTGCAGCTAAAAGGCTTCTTTTAACGTCTGCTGATTTTAAAATGAGAGCTCAGCTTCTCAGTCTGTTCAGTTTTGCTGCAGCAATCTCCCGCTTGGCCCTGCTGGCTAGGGGTTCTGGGAGTTGTGCTCCGAAGGAAGTTTTTCCAGGCTCTGAAATAGGTCACACCGGAGCCCTGTGTAGCACTTTCTAGGTCACTGGATCAGAGCTTGCCCTGGCTTTCTGATTTTTTTCCCAATGCATTAGCCAAGTGGCCGTTCTCCCCCCCCCCCCAACTGTGTTTTATTCACACCTGCTGATAAAAAAAAACCTGTTTGGCTTTAGTGATGCAGAAAGTCAAAGGAAGATGGGCTTGGGGGTGAGGGGAACACAGCTTTTGTAAAACCACAACTATTTCTCTCAGTTTCACATTTGGTGAACAAGGGCGCGCTAAAATAAGGTTCCAGACCTTCAGGATAAAAATTGCCAGATCACGTGATCAGTTGCTAAAAGCTGATTATTACAGGTTGTAAAAACGGGCACCTGCCGTGTTGTTCCAGGCTGGCTAATCTCAGGAGGAATGCTTCCTCTCAATACCCTTCTGACGCCTTGTGGTCCTAACACCTGTCAAGCATCCTTTCAGTGTGGATGACTTGAAAGAAGCTGGGGGCATGGATCCTGTGTTGTTCGGCATCCTTTAGAACTTCTCCCCAAAAGGCATTTTATGAAATGTTTTAGCCAGTACGTGGCTGCGCTGCACTGAACTGGAAGCTTGGTGTTTTGGGTGGGTTGTTAGTGTAAACATTGCGTGGAAATGCTTTGGTGGCAAAATAGGTCTTTGCCATTTAATGGAACTCCAGTGTATTTTGATTTGAAAGGTGCCTTTGAATCTGTCCCTAGGAAATGTTTGTAGGATAAAAGGGATAAGAGTGCTGTGGATAGGGTTCTCCTTTTGTGAAAGTTGAGCACACAGACTAGATTTCAGGTTCACTGTAGTCTACATGCAGAGCAGAGCACACAGGGAGATTACCACAAGCAGGAGGGTTCAGACAAGGGTGGATTTTGGCCCTTATCTTTCATATTTGTTTATGAGTGATCGGACCCTTTTCTAAGAATAGCAACAAGGTTGTTATACAGTGGCTCCCACTACTGCTTTGTCCAGAAGATATTGCAGCATTATGTTTAACTTAGCTGAGCCTGTGGCATGGATTGAAGGCCGTGACAGGTTACAGGGGATGGATCCCAGTGGAAAAGAATTCAAAACCTTGGAGCATTGGCATATATTTTTGAGGAGTGTAAGCTAATATAGTAATGGCTGCATGGTAAAACCAAGCATGTAGAGAGATGGTCCAGTCATCAAAGGTACTAGGATAAACAAGGCTGTTGTATTCCATGGAGATGGCAGGAAAATATGTGAAGATTGGCATTAGTGCTACCTTTGGCATCATCTCAAGGAGTGTGCTGGTTGCTTCATGCTTCAGTGGAATAGCTAATGCCGTGGATGGAAGACAGAAACAAATTTCAGAAATATCTTGATAGGCTCAAGCACTGGGCTCTCAACCTTGGGCCTCCAGATGTTCTTGGACTTCAACTCCCAGAAATCCTGGCCAGCAGAGATGGTAGTGAAGGCTCCTGGGAGTTGTTGTCCGAGAACATCTGGAGGCCCAAGGTTGGGGACCACTGCCCTGGAAGACAGAAACAAAATTCAGAAATATCTCAATAAGCTCGAGCACTGGGCTGAAAACAACAGAATGACATTTAATAGGCATAAGTGCAAAATTCTACACCTGGGGGGGAAAAACCCAAAACAACAGGTACAAGGGGTGTGTGTGTGGCTAAGTATTACTACGAGTGAGAAGAATCTTGGAGTTGTTGTAGATCCCAAGCTGAATATGAGCTAACCGTGTGATGTGGCTGCAAAAAAGGCCAATGCTGTTTTAGGCTGCATTAACAGAAGTATAGTCTCCAAATCCCATGAAGTACTAGTCCCGCTGTATTCGGCATTGGATAAGCCTTATCTTGAGTCCCATGTCCAGTTCTGGACACCAGACTCTAAAAAGAATGTTGGCAAACCAGAACAAGTTCAGAAGAAGGCAACAAGGATGATCGGGACTGGAAACCAAGCCCTTTGAGGAAAGACTGAAAGAACTGGGCATGTTTAGCCTTGAGAAAAGACTGAGGGAAGAGAGGATAGCACTCTTCCAATACTTGAAAGATAGTCATACAGAGTAAGGGCAGGATCTTTTCTCGATCATCCCAGAGTGCTGGAACACGGAACAATGGGCTCAAGTTACAGGAATCCAGCTTTCAGTTCAATATATCAGGAAAAACTTCCTAACTGTTAGAGCAGTAAGACAGTGGAAACAACTGCCTTGGGATGTAGTGAATGCTCCAGTGCTGGAGGCATTCAAGCAACCGACTGCCAGATATCCTTTCATTTGTGTATTCCTGCCTTGAGCTGTGGGTTGGACTCAATGGCCTTAATAGACCCCTTCCGACTCCGTGTTTCTGTAATTCTAACCTGTTTCTTCCTTTGTCGATCCTTATGCTGCAAAGGAAGGGCTTATGGCTGCTTTCTGTTTTAGACTCCTATTGCTGCATTTGAAAATTGCCCCAAGGACAATCCTGCGTTTTACTGTAACAAAAAGACCAGTTGCAAGAGCTGCAGCCTGGATCAGAACTGTCAGTGGGAAAGCCGGAACCAAGAATGCATTGCTTTGCCAGGTATGTCTTCCTTGGGGATAACATCCGTGGCAGGTTTGTCTCCTGCCTCCCCACATCCAAAAGACAGAAGCACCGCTGCTCCCTACTGCCAGAAAACGATGAATTGAATATTGCCTTTATGCAAGTCATTCTAAAGTAGCTTTTTCAAAACCAGGCTTCCTCAACATATTACATCAATCCCAAATACAAAATTCTCTTAGGAACAGCAGGGGAAAAACTAAGAGGAAACGGTACGTAGAAGCCCTGGCAAGGCCACTGGCTACCTTCCTACCTCTGGCAGAAGAAGAGAAGTGACCCTGTAGGTCCTTCTTCCTCGTACGTGCCTGCAGTGCCTTCTAGCTTTCCTTACATGTGGCCAGGGTGTGGGGGGGGAGTGTCCATCCTCCTCAGCAGTCAGTGCTGCTTGCTTTTGTGTATAGATAGATAGAGAGAGAGAGAGAGAGAGAGAGAGAGAGAGAGAGATAAATGATGTGGGGCAGGCTCTGAATTCAGAAAGAAAGCAAAACCCGGAGTGTTTTGCAGAATCTCACTTCCCACTGTCATTGCGAAGCAAAGCCGCTGAAAACATTGGGCGACTCTCTCCCCCTGGGAAGCCGCCAAGGGGTAGAGTCCACCCTTGGTCCATTTGGCTCAGTGTTATTGGCACTCACCCGCCGGGGCTGCCCAGCATTTCAGGCAGGAGTCTTTCCCGCTCCTCCCCAAACATCAAACCTGGGGCCTTCTGCATGCCTTGTGCGATGACCCCCTCCTGGCTTTGGGTGGGGTGGCTGGTCCCGAGGGTCTGAACTAAAATTAAGGCTTCTGCAATCATGACGGTGCAGTCATGTGTCCCATTTAGTCCCACCTCCTCCTGGCACCTCGCTTTGCCAAAATGGTGTGATGCTGTGTCACATACTTGAGGCAAAGCACGGCTACGTACACTAGGAAGCTGCTGTTGTCATTGCATCAGCACGTCATGCAACACCAGTAGCCAATATTCCCTCCGAAGTGTGCTCACGTGGGGGCCGGCGAAGCTCCCTCTGCACTGCACAGCAACGACCGGGGTCATTGCCTGTTTACTTCCGGGTTCCAGATCACACTCTGTCCCTTGTGCACAGACGAGCCAGTCTCCCTCACAGTGGGGACGACAGTGAAAGGGAATGTTGCTCGTAGCCCTCCGTTTACATCTGAAGGGAGCCTGAAGCACCCCACTCAATAGAAATAGGGGCTGCTCTGGCCGAGGAAACCTTCTTTCAGAGACCACAGCTCTCACAAGCTGTGAAGCTAAAGTCTTAAAAAAGAAATGTGTGAATCCTCTCTGCCCTGCAGAAATCTAGGTAAGTACTTTAGGACTGTTTACACATTGCATCGAGCTCCCTCTGGCTGCGTGCTGAGGTTCCTTGTACCGGATGATCAAAATCCTGAAGTCACATACAGAAGTCCAGAAGCATGCCGGGAATTGCAGTTCACAATTCCTCTGCGGCTTCTCTTTCTTCTGGACCTGCCTTTTTCTGTGAAGTCACAGGCTTCTCTCCCTGTTTTCTAAAACAGTTTGAACTCAAGCCATCCCTTCCTAACTTGGAATGATGTCCGGGATACGCAGCGCAGCACTAATTTTTCCGTTGTACGGGCAGATGTGCGGAGTTCATTGCCTGTAGCAATGGGCTGCCTGTAGAGATAGGTGGATTATCCTGCACTGGCCAGCTCCTAAAGCTCCCTGCAGGGAACCATAAGAAGGCGGCGGCAGCTGTTTCTGGATGCCCTTCTTCACAAATCAGCCTGGAACGATACAGGACAGTGAGAGTGCCTTCGCCCCGGCCAAGTCCAGGGTCAGGTCCTTAGTCCTCTTTGCAAGTCAAGTGCTGATGCAAGACAAGAGTTTTAGTTTTTAATGACCTTTTTCTTGACTAGGCTTCCAGAGCTGGGTTTGAGTTCTTTGTTTCTCTCTGTTATGCACTTCTCCCTTTAACGACACTAGGGTTAGAGGCACCACACCCCTGTGCAGTTCAAAATCCATGTACAACTCTTATGCCCCCAAAACGGAGCTGCAAGGCATAAACAGTTTATTCCCCGGGGGGGGGGGGGAGACGGTTCTCTTTCATAGTGTTGACAGTCCTTTCTATATAGTACCATATATAATGACCCTTTAAGGTCATTAATTTTTTAATTTATTTGATTTATTTAATTTGTTTATTCAAAATAATTCTATCCCGCATTTCTCCCCAAAAGGACTCAAGGCAAAATGTGTTTGGGGGCAAGTAAACCACTTTGATACCATCAGTGTTGAACTCATGGCATCTGAATGGCCAGGGTTGCAGTATTTATTGAATATTTATTTATTTAAATATTTGTTTATTCAAATATTTATTTTATTTGTTGAAAAAAAAATCCATGTATAACCCAAACCCTGCTGTTCAGACCCATGCACTTCAAAGGAGAAGTGTAGTTTGGCATGCAGGTCTATAAAAATTCTTAGCTTACAGAGATTGCTAGTCTGCTTGCATTATAGTTTGATCCTTTCTTGGAGTCCAGAACTGACCACCCGCTGGAAAACTTCCTTGCCTGGTCAGCTGAACTTGATTTCATATGAGCTTTGCCATAGGCGGTACATAGTCACAGGACATATTGTGAGTTCCTCCATCAAAAACCTGAAATATTTTGTACATTGTAGCTTTAAGTTGCATGAATTGCTGAATGGGGAGCCACCGACTGCATGTCTGTAACCCCATTGATCTGTTCTCGTTGGGTCTTGCACTTGGGTGCAACCCCACTTATGTCAAGAGTAATAGTTCTTTTCTCCTCTATGCTACTCTGTTTCCCTGAAAATAAGACCTAACCTGAAAATAAGCCCTAGTATGATTTTCCAGAATGCTCGTCATATAAGCCCTACCCCAAAAATGAGCCCCAGTTAAGTGACGCCCCGCCCTCCACCCTTGTGCAACAGCCAGAAGAAGAGGACATTACTGTATTTGAATAAATGTAGACTGCTTTCTATGAAATAAATAAAACATCAACTGAAAATAAGCCCTAATGCGGTTTTTGGAACAAAAATTTATACAAGACGTTTTCTTATTTTTGGGGAAACACGATATACAGTTACAAATAATCACTCTAAGGGGAGAAATCTGTGGATATATACAAGACGTTTTCTTATTTTTGGGGAAACATGATATACAGTTACAAATGATCACTCTAAGGGGAGAAATCTGTGGATATGTTTTTTTTTTCTTCCCCCAGAAAACATTTGTGGAGCAACCTGGCACTTGGTGGGCAACTCTTGTTTGAAAATCACCCACGTGAAAGACAGCTACGACAATGCTAAGCTGGCCTGCAGGAGTCACAATGCTGCTCTGGCGTCGCTCACGACCCAGAAGAAGGTGGAATTTCTGCTCAAAGAACTCCAGAAGACCCAGTCCATGGTGAGTGACTCATAACAGACGTTAGCATTCTGGCTTGTCCCCTAAAGCAGTGGTCCCCAACCTTTTTGGGACCACGGACTGGCTGAGCCTCTGAGGAAGGCGGGGCAACCGCGCTTGCACGGGTGCGCGCTCTCGGGTGCATGCATGAAGTGGTGGGGGAATACACATGCCCACCAGCACCAACGTGAGTGTTCCCCCACCCCTTTGTGCAGGAACACCTGCATGCCCACCCCTTTGCGCGGGCACATGCATGAAGGGGTGGGGGAGTGCTCACGTTGGCATTGACATGTGTGCATGCATGCAAAGCGGCTGTGGGGAGGGGAATGCATGCGGGGACAGGAGGCCTGTCTCTGCAGCCTGGTCTGGCTCGGGAGGCCTGTCTCTGCAGCCTGTTCCGGCTCAGGCCATGGACCGGCACCTCTGCCCTAAAGGGTGAACAGAGAGGCTGTTGAAGTTTAGCAGTCCTCTCTCCTGTATGCATGCGTGCGTAAGAGAGAGAGAGAGAGAGAGAGGCTCCTCTCTCCTATATGCATGCGTGCGTGCAAGAGAGAGAGAGAGAGGCACCTCTAAGACTAGCAGGTTTATTTTAGCACAAGTGTTTAATGAGTTACTTACCACTTCGTCAAGTGCATGGAGTAGACTGCAATCCAAGAATCCCAACTCGTGCTATAGGAAATCAAAATGGAGCCACAAGAATCTTATTTTTCTTTTTTGTAAAAGTGAAAAAAGACAAATGTCTTTGGAAACACACTCCTTTTGGTGCACTTCTAGTGCTTGCTTCTTTCCACTTCCTTTTGTCTCTGCATCTTGGAGCTAATTTTGGACTCAAATGAACTGTGTTAGAGTTCCACATCAGGACAAAGATTGAATCGTACATCTTCTAGACCACGTGGCTCTGTAATCTTGCCGCAGACCAGCCCGTGTATTTGCTAGGAGACAGGAGATCCAGAAAAGAAGGGTGGTAACAGAAGAGAGGTTGCTGGAGAGGGGCGGAGAAGTGCCATCTCTGTCTTGCTTGTTCCCTGTGTTTCCGCTGTGATTGGACTCTCAACTATCCAAAGAGTATCTATTGATCTGTATTATATATAAATTATATAATGGACCCATATATCTGGGCCCATTTACATGGTAAGGGTGCCACAGGAAGGGACACAGGCTAAGTCACACCCCAGGGGCGTTGCAGTGACCAGAAATATCTTTACCATGAAAAATTAAAATATATTTTCATGGTAACGATATTTCTGGTCAATACAACGCCCCTGGGGTGTGACTTGGCCTGTGTCCCTTCCTGTGGTACACTTACCACATCATGAATGCGCTGCTTCATTTGAACTCTTCTTTTCTCCCCACCTTTAGCCCAAAGCCTTGACCCCATGGGTTGGCCTGCGGAAGATCAACGTCTCCTACTGGTGCTGGGAAGATATGTCTCCATTTACAAATACCTTGCTCCAGTGGCTGCCGGGAGAGCCAAGCGACATTGGGTTTTGCAGCTACTTAGCGGAGCCGAGCAGCCGAGGGCTGAAGGCCGCAACGTGCATCAACCTGGTCAATGGCAGCATCTGTGAAAGGCCTGGTAAAGCAATTCTCAAGTTGGGTCTTGTTGTAGAAGGGCTGGGGTTGAAGAGATGTGTCTGGAGGACATCTCAGAAGGTCTGGAAACGTGCGCTCATGTATCTGTGGCACTCTTCTTGTGGTTGACTTGTAGGGATGCTTGGTGCCACTGTCATCTTAGTCATGTGAGATGATACAGGATTGAGAAGGAGAGGTTGGAGGGGAGAGTAAAGGTTCAGCATGAAATAGTGTGGCAAGACACATTGGACAGGAAAAGTCTTGCTGAGGAAGGGGGTTCTGTGTGACATGAAAGCCAAGGGTTGGAAACAAGTGAGGGAATTCATGGGCACCAACTATTCAGAAACCCTGGAACACAGAAGAACATCTTAGACCTAACCCAGACCTTTGGATTCACTGGCCTGGGTATTGGTTGCATCGCCCTGAATGGTAACAGAGAGATCTTCTCCACTTCTAGCTGGAGATCCCACGGATGATCCTCCCTGGACACAACATGTACTGTGTCACTGAGCTATAACCTTTCCCAAATAAACCAGGAAAAATCAGTCTACACTACTCTGGGGAAGATGGTATGCATGCCCATTCGTTGCAGTGAAATACAAGCTATAGACTAGGGTGCTGCGTTATTGTCGCTTTGGCAATGTTGAGGAGGAAGACCTCTTTGTAGTAAACCAATCAGTTGGAGCAGTGGTTCTTAACCTTTGGTTACTCAGGTGTTTTTGGACTGCAACTCCCAGAAGACTTCACCACCAGCTATGGTGGCTGGGGTTTCTGGAAGTTGCGGTTCAAAAACACCTGAGTAACCATGGTTAAGAACCATTGAGTTGGAGCATTTAGGAGAGTGTACATAATCAATGTGTAGATCCGGTCTGTGATGTAGATTTTCATGCATCCTTGTGGTCACTGGAAAATCTGAGTAGGGTGTGTAAAGGCTCCTAGCAGGATGCTCCAGATCCATTCAGTGAATACTTGTAAACTTCATGGCTGTGGCATGATAACTTATCCTGAAAACGTTAACATGATCTCCCCAAAGAACACCATTTCTACGGCCTGTAAAGACAATGAAGGCTAGCAAGCTTGAAGGATGAGAAGCTTGTTGTTCATACTCATACAGAATATGACCTTGAGTATAAAGTCTTGAAAGGATAGTAGCAGCCTCCTAAGAGCCAGAGAGATGAATTTTAGACACATTCTAAACCTGTTGGAGGAAGAGGCATAGATAAGGACCATAAAAAGGTTAGGTCAGCCAGAATGATAGAGATGGGCTTTAACAGAATGGACAGGAAAGGCTGTTGAGATGCTGACAAGGACGTAGTGTTAGGAGCCGTTAGTCGACAGAAGAAAGAAAGATCCTTTCACCCGCTTGGCCGCGTTCTCTTTGATTTCTCAAGGGTGATGGGGGAAATGCAATGATTTTTAAAGGTTATATGTGGGGAAAATGCACTAATGCTGTCTTTCTGAATACGCAGCCAATCACAGTGCCAAGCAGTGCCGCATTCCTTGTGGCTTGAGGACAACATGCAGCGAATGCACTAGCAGCAACTCTGAATGTATGTGGTGTAGCAACAAGAAGCAGTGCGTAGACTCAAACGCATATGTCTCCTCATTCCCTTACGGACAGTGCATGGAGTGGCACACTGTGAGCAGCTGTCCACGTAAGCCATTCCTACTAATGATGTCAAAAAAGAACGATGTGAGGTAGTGGTTTGTTCCCAAAGAGTGGCTTTGGCCTTGGAAGAGTTAACACTTTGTATGGCCTTCTTTTTGAGTGAGGAATCAGTCCTGCTTGTGTTGTCTGTTCATTGTAGAATGATGCAGACATAGAAATGAATTACTGGGTTGCAAATTTACATAGCAGGGGTTAAGCCCAGAGTAATAGGCATGAGTAGGGAATTTGACCTGGAACCAAAGGGTCATGTTGGCATCACCATGCTGAGTAGGACTTTTGAAGTTTCCCCTTTTCTGTCTGTTTTCTCTTGATATACCACCTGGAATTCTGTGGAGAGAATTCCAGGTGGCTTTTCAACATTACTTGCTTGATGACCCTTGTGTACATCATGGCATTACTCACAATATTTTTCCAGGGGTACACTGGTTTGGTTCAGCCCAGAAGGATAAAGGCTCTATTTATATTTATTCATTGTGTCAAGAAGCGTTTACCTTCAAAAAGCCCTGGTGATGCCTTTGGATGAAAAATTTCTTAGGTGATTTGACAGACAGAAGGTGAAGGGGCACCCAAAGGATAAGCAAAAGAGGGAGCAGGAAAGAAGCAAAACTTTCGTGTGCTCCTCTTTCGTAGACTTGAATCACTTGTGTTTAAGAAACAGAAAATAGTGTGTGCTTAAGAGGCTCTTTTGCTGAAAGACTATGAATTAAAGCAAAGCAAAAGCAAAGCGTGCTGCTTATATGCCGCCCATAGTACTTCAAACGGGCGGTTTACAAGTTAATTATGCAGGCTATACTCCCCCCCCCCCC